CCTATACTATTGGTAACATTATGAGTTGCTTAATTACAAACCTATACTATTGGTACCATTGTGACATGCTTAATTACAAACATATACTATTGGTACCATTGTGACATGCTTAATTACAAACCTATACTATTGGTACCATTGTGACATGCTTAATTACAAACATATACTATTGGTACCATTGTGACATGCTTAATTACAAACCTATACTATTGGTACCATTGTGACATGCTTAATTACAAACCTATACTATTGGTACCATTGTGACATGCTTAATTACAAATCTATACTACTGGTAGTAGTGTGACTTGCCAAATTATGAGCCTATACTATTGGTACCATTGCAACTTGCCAAATTATAAGCCTATACTACTGGTAGTAGTGTGACTTGCCTAATTATAAGCCTATACTACTGGTAGTAGTGTGACTTGCCTAATTATAAGCCTATGCTACTGGTAGTAGTGTGACTTGCCTATTATAAGTATATACTACTGGTAGTAGTGTGACTTCCCTAATTATAAGTCTATACTACTGGTAGTAGTGTGACTTCCCTAATTATAAGTCTATACTACTGGTAGTAGTGTGACTTGCCAAATTATAAGCCTATACTATTGGTACCATTGTGGCTTGCTTAATTACAAACATATCAAATTTGTACCATTGCAACTTGCCAAGTTATAAGCCTATACTACTGGTAGTAGTGTGACTTGCCTAATTATAAATCTATACTACTGGTAGTAGTGTGACTTGCCTAATTACAAACCTATACTATTTGTACCATTGCAACTTGCCAAATTATAAGCCTATACTACTGGTAGTAGTGTGATTTGCCAAATTATAAGCCTATACTACTTGTAGTAGTGTGACTTGCCTAATTATAAGTCTATACTACTGATAGTAGTGTGACTTGCCTAATTATAAGCCTATACTACTGGTAGTAGTGTGACTTGCCAAATTATAAGCCTATACTATTGGTAGTAGTGTGACTTGCCAAATTATAAGCCTATACTACTGGTAGTAGTGTGACTTGCCTAATTATAAGTCTATACTACTGGTAGTAGTGTGACTTGCCTAATTATAAGTCTATACTACTGGTAGTAGTGTGACTTGCCTAATTATAAGCCTATACTACTGGTAGTAGTGTGACTTGCCTAATTATAAGCCTATACTACTGGTAGTAGTGTGACTTGCCTAATTATAAGCCTATACTACTGGTAGTAGTGTGATTTGCTTAGAAACTTCTGTTTTCTTCTAATGTCTTTGATAACTACCCTAAACCAAGAAGTTAACATAACAGCTTGATACATTGTATACATATAGATACAGTTTAATTACATCAATATTACATATATTTTCAAGAGAAGTAAAATAGTTGTGTAGAAATGTACAAGGTAGTGATTTTATGGGTTTATACTTATTAAGAAATTAAACATTTGTATACAATTATAGTTATATTAACCATTCATTGAAGATAATATACATATTTTGTTTTCTTCACATATTTTAGAATTTTCCTGAATTTAAGTTACATAGATAAAAGGTTGAGATAACGTTTACAATTAAACTGCTGTTATAGTCATTTCCTTCAGAGCTTTATGATAATTAACTTGGAAAAATATCAAAATATATGTTTACAAACAAATCTTAATACAATTACATAAAAAATATTTATCCCACCTCATTAATAATAGTTATGAAATAAGTAACCTCATTCATTTCAGAGTTTTGTAAATCTGCTTTTTTTAAGATTAAAACATGTGACTAACCTATAATAAAATAGCAGATGGTTCGATTGGTAACATTTCCCATGAATTCTTCTTGGTATTTAGCCTCTGGAATGAGTACTTTTCCTTCAAGTGTTTCTTCTTCAAAAGTAACTACACCCTGAAACATGAAACATATTACAAAATCAACTATACCAAAAAGTGTTACACTGAGAAGCACTGCTATCCTGCAACTTGTGAGGGGGGTTGAGATTTAGGTCTTTAACTTCAATATAATTCTTTCTGTCTATAGGGGTGTTCAATATGTCGTCAAACCCCAGATACATTGTGTCTAAATGATATGCACATGGAACACTTTATGTCATATGATATTACCACTGCCACATTGTACTATTTATGTCATATATATGATATTACCACTGCCACATGGTACTATTTATGTCATATATATAATATTACTGTTGCCACATAGTACTATTTATGTCATATATATGATATTACCACTGCCACATGGTACTATTTATGTCATATATATGATATTACCACTGCCACACGGTACTATTTATGTCATATATATGATATTACCACTGCCACATGGTACTATTTATGTCAAATTGATATTACCACTGCCACATGGTACTATTTATGTCAAATTGATATTACCACTGCCACATGGTACTATTTATGTCATATATATGATATTACCACTGCCACATGGTACTATTTATGTCATATATATTGTTATGTCTCCGTTTGTTAATTAGCTTTCCGTAACTTCGTTCCGACGAAACTTTAGCGACAAAAGTCCTTACTTAATAAAACTGGTTTATTCTTTCCGAATACAACTCTACGATACACTAATTTTCAACAGTCGCTCTATAACAAACGCTATGTCAACAATACTTCTGACTGCAGTTCAATTACTCATTACGTACACACACATTAAATGTCTTCCCGTCACGTTGTCACCCTCTTTTATATACCAGACT